GACAGACAGACAGACAGACAGACAGACAGATAGATAGATAGATAGATTGATAGATAGATAGATAGATAGATAGATAGATAGATAGATAGATAGATAGATAGATAGATAGATAGAAAAATAGATAGATAGATTTTGTTTATGTACACAAAAACAGTAGCGTCTAAATAACAGTATGTACAAACATGATGAAATCTAGTTAACAAACACATCCAATCTCAGGCAATAACAGTGCTGCACTAATAATCTCTGTGTTTATGTGTTTTTGTTGTGGTCTATGTGTGTGTGTGTGATCAGTCCATGTGACCCTGCGCTCTGCTGTGTCTCTGCTGGGTGAGAGAGAGGGAGGGTAAGGAATGCTGGTGCTATTCTGGGCCTCCGGCTGGAGAACTGCTGCTGCTCGTGGACATGCAAGCCTGGCCTACATGTGCAGCTTATTGGAAGTTGAAGAGCACAAGGTAAACAGAGGGACAGCTTCCTATTGGCTTGGTTTAGTGTTTTTTTTAGATTGTGAAATATAGCAAGACCCAAACTGGACCCTGGTCACTTGCTTGAACATAACACTGGGCTTGTCTGTTTGGGAAAGCAGGGAATCAACATCCTCTGGTTTGTCACAATAGCTCTCTGTTTACCCAGAGGTCAACACTGGTCAGAGCAAAGCCTCACACCTCGAAAGTGCATTATCTACAGGCAAATTAACATCTCAATTGCGATGTCTTTGTTTCTCATTATTGGCAAGAGTTTGGGTGTAATTTGTATGATAATCTGTTCACACCTTCAACAGTTTGCTGTACTTTTTAGAGCGCTAAAGACAAATTTTGAGGTGTTAGGAGATATGTGACAGAAGTCAGGTCGGTTTTAGATCATAGGTCAATTAGAAGTAATCATGATAAGCATACACTGATTCACTGATTTTCCCACTAAAATAACCTAACTAAAAATTAGTAAGTTCCTTCCTTTTTTTATCTGGATACCAAAAGTCATCTGGAAGCGCGGTTGAAAACTGTGTATAGCATGACAGATTTGCTCACATGATCATAGATCATTTGGTATTGTCATGTTTAATCCTTGAAATTTGTTCTCTTTTTATATCAGCCACCTGAAGTACAAAATACAAGCACAGACTTTAAAAAAAAAACTAATATTTAGTCTGTTACTAAATACAGACATGCATAAATAAATAGGTCAGTTATGTGCTCTTAGTTTACACTTTGATTGAATGCATGTAGTTTGCTTTAGTGTTGTGTATTTCAACGAATTTTATCTAGAATGCATGTTCAGTTTCTGAATCAGTTTTGGTATTTGTAATGTCTGTAATCAGATACACATGAAAATAATTAAGCTTTTTCACCCATTCTTTTTTTTATTAGTTATAAATAGACCTTATGCATTTAAATGAACATTAAACTGTTGAAATAAAAATTATTACCCCCTTTTGAATTTTTTTCTTTTTTTTAAATATTTCCAAAATGATAAGCAAGAAAAATTTTCACAGAATGTCTAATAAAAAAAAATTAAAAAAAATTATGAAAAAAAAAAAAAAAAAAAAAAAACAGGGGGCTAATAATTTAGGGGGGCTAACAATTCTGACTTCAACTGTAGATTTGGTAAAGATCCATTGTATAGTATTTTTGTATCTATTTAAATGGAAACTAAAAAAAAAAAAAAAACTATATCTAAACTATCTATAATAATCTATCTGACTGTATAGACAAATAAAAAAAAACATCTGACAAAATAAGAAGACATAAATAAACAAACAAACAAACAAACAAATAAATAAATAAATAAATAAATAAATAAATAAATAAATAAATAAATAAATAAATGAACAAAACTCGTTTTAAACTATTACTCAAAATGACAAGATTTATTCAATTACACCAGCTGGAGATACAAATATGTAGAAAGACAAATATGTAATTAATTTAAATGTTTTATTAACTTGAAAATAATAATTAAACAAGTTTTGCACCATTTACTTTTCTTTTTTTAAAGTTATAAATGGACTTTATTCATTTAAATGAACATTATAGAACCTCTAAAGATCCATTGCATAGCATTTTTGTAGTTATTAAAATGAAAAATAAAATAAAAAAATCTAAACATATTTTTTACAATTACAAAACAAAAAGTAAATAAAATTAAAACAAAATTAAGCTATTACTAAATGAGACAAGATTTATTCAACAATCACAGCTAAAGATACAAAAGACAAATATATTTATTCATAAATTTTCCTTCAGCTTAGTCCCTTTATTTATCAGGGGGTGCCACAGTGTATCCAGCACATGTTTTATGCAGCGGATGCCCTTCCAGCTGCAACCCAGCACTGGGAAACACCCATAAACTCTCACATTCACACAAACTACGACCAATTTAGCTTATTCAACCCAATAGCGCATGTATTTGGATTGTGGGGGAAACCAGAGCACTCGGAGGAAACCCATGCGAACACAAGGACAACATGCTAACTCCACAAAGAAGTGCCAACTGACCCAGC